ATGCAGTGAAGCCGTGATGAAAAGCAGAAAAAATTATTCCCGGTTTATAATCTGAGGATTGTTCCCTCAATGTGACCGGCCCCTAACGGTGCACAGCGGGGCCACAGCAAAATACTCACTGAGTCATACAGCAATGCCACATTGAACACTCACTGAGTTATACAGCAAGGCCATAGCAAACACTGATTTTGTTGTTTTTTACTGAAGACACACCTTACTTGTAAGAAGAGGGGAGAGAAGTAGCAGGACAACACAACAATGGGAAGAGCCATACAGCAAGGCCGCAATGAACACTCACTGAAGTTTGGAGATGGAGTTCTGGCACAAGTGTAGCTGCTCCAGTGACGGCAGCATCTCTGCCAAACAAACAATCTGAATCGACATAACATACAAATCAAACATACCGTAAAATCGTGGATAAAGGTCGCGGCTTATATGGCTTTTTGGGGAAATTTTGCAGGCTTCTACATGAGACAGGCTTCTATACAAGACAGGTAATTCTATGTATGTCAACACTAAAACCAGACGTATGACAATGTGCCGACAGTGTATCTAGAAAAATCAGGCTTCTACTCAAGACAGGCTTCTTCTATATGAGGCAGGCTTTAATACAAGACACACTACGGTACGCATACACACAGGGATGACAGCATTGAACATGATGATCAACAACATCAAGTAGATTGTAATTTGGATAAAGATAGGATAGTACATTACAAGCCGTATGTAGCAGTAACTATGTGTGTGTGTGTGTGTGTGTGTGTGTGTGTGTGTGTGTGTGTGTGTGTATGTGTGTGTGTGTGTGCGTGCGTGTGTGCGTGCGTGTGTGTTTGCATGCTTGCACATGCGTGTATGTATATTGTGTATGCGAGCCCGTGTGTGTGTGTGTGTGTGTGTGTGTGTGTGTTTTGATTTCAGGGGGTGTCGGCCGTTGGGCGGTTCAATAACCAATTGAGTCATCTTTCCAAGATTCCTTTTGAGTCTCTCTCCCCTCTCCCGGGGAGACTCACGTGACCAGTTTTGGCAGTGAGCAACAAGTACAGTACAGTACAGTACAGTGTGTGTGTGTGTGTGTGTGTGTGTGTGTGTGTGTGTGTGTGTGTGTGTGTGTGTGTGTGTATGACGGGGTAACATCAGGTGTACACACTATGCGGTGACAGTAGATGCATGCAGTGAATGGTACCTGGTCCCAGTCCACACCAGCACGATTCAAATGTAGTGACGTGACTCGAGATAGGCTGCTAGCTAGACTGCTGGCAATGGCCGGGGACTCCAAGACATTATCACTACACACATACACAAACACAAACACACAGAGCAACATCATGTTAAAGAAAATAATAGTATACTAAACATTGACCGGGTATTACAAGCGACAACAAGAGTGCCTGTGCTCCCAAGAGTGTGCAACTTCGTAAGTCGACAAATGCTCGGCCCATTCAAATCCCCCCCTCCCAGGGCTAAAACGCATTTCGGCTGCAACAAATTTTCGGCCTGTACTGCTGCTGCCTGTATACACTGTCACACTGAACCTTGCAAAACAAAATTTCGGCTGCAACACATTTTCGGCCAAATATGATCAGGCTGAAAATAGCCGAAAATAAATACGGTAGTTCCGCGCATAGAAGCCCATGGGCCTATATCCGGATGTAGGTCCACCTCCGTTTATAGGCCCATGGGCTAATAAACAGACCCAAACACCGTAATACAGCATGTCAGTGCAGACTACATTACCAGTACCGGTACCTACAGTAGGCGGACAACCGCGCACGGACTTGTACTTTTCGCGTGCCAGCTGCCTTCAAAATTCGAATATAGGCCCAGGGCTAAAAAACGAACCATTATTACTGATTTTTTCCCCGGAAAATGCATTATTTCGTATATTAGCCCATGGGCTTATATGCGCGGAACTACGGTGTGCGCCGAATGTTTGTAGACTTACAGTAAGCTTTCTATGGGGTTCGTTGGCGGCGAAAACTCACATCACATAGTGAAGTGTTCCCAACTTGTGCTGAAAATGGCATGTGCTGACTTGGGCATCCACTATCAGAATACACACCCTACTAATCCCAGATCAAGCTGTATGACACTCCGGCTTGTGCCCAGACTGACTGTCCGCCTGTTTCAGCGAGTTGCTGCTAGCAGGAGAAGATATTCGCTGTGCTTGCGGATGTCGCCTGATGACATGACCGAGTTCCAGTCGGATGTATCAATGTTCATGGAAACAGCAAGATGTGAGGTGGCTGCTAGGCAGCCACACAACGGCACGCCCAAACATCTCATGGAGTCGCATTTGCCAGGCGCTGTGAAAGTGTTCGGCGTTGGTATGGGACTCCTCGCGGAGCAGGGCGGCAAGAGCATCCACCACGAATTCAAGTCGCTCCAGCATCGTCACGAAGGGATCGTGAATGAACTGCAGTGCCTTCGTACGACAGTCAAGCAACACTTGTCGTCTAGTCTCCCACGCCAGGTTCCTCTCTTCCCCCAGAGAGTCGAAAAAGAAAGCACTACGTGCACGAGGATTCTAGCAGCTCCGCACATAATGAGGATCGAGAGGAGTAACGTAGCTTCCTTCTTCTGATCGTATACAGCAGCTATGAACATTATTTTGGTCTTTCTCCGAGTTCGTACTACAGTCTGTCAGTGTAACATACACTCTTCAGGGGCGTGCTCGGCCCCCCAACTAGGGGGGTGCACGGGAGCCGAGGGAGCCCCCCCCCCCCCCCGGCAATTTTCTGCAATTTGTTTGCAACCTTTCTTGAATTTTAGAGCATATTTGCATACATTACAATTGCAAATACCCAGATTGAAATTTTTTGGGGGTGCACGTGCCCCCCGTGCCCATCGCCGAGCACGCGCCTGCTCTTGGTACTTGTTTTTGTTAGGTCACAGATTTATTTTTCTTATTTTCTACATCTCACTGCGTCAGCGTCGTCATGACGTCACTGTCGCACATTACCATGCTGATGGTCATGTTTCATGCACGTGCCAAAATTCCCGCCATCTTGCTCAGTGGCCACATGAAATCAGCAGTGTCAGAAGTCAACGTCCTAGCTAGAAGCAGCATAGCAGAAGGCGTAAATCAAGCAAGTCTCCGCTTTCCACTTACCTGAGCTCCAAGTTCTGTAGGCGAGGTAGACATTGTGCGATGGCCGCTACCTCACTCCACTGAGTGAGAAGTGTGTTGCTCAGATCAACCAGTTTGAGGACTAGTAGGCATCCGTCAAGGTATAATTATACTCTGTACACAATGTGTGGGTTCCTTCAACCAATGAATACATCATGTGTGCTTCTGCCTCTCTGCTTCTGTCTGTCTAAGTCTCTCTGTCTGTCTCCCTTTTTCTCTCCGTGTCTGTCTGTCTGTGTCTGTCTGTCTGTCTCTCTCTCTCTCTCTCTCTCTCTCTCTCTCTCTCTCTCTCTCTCTCTCTCTCTCTCTCTCTCTCTCTCTCTCACACACACGCACACACGCACATGTACTTGTTGCTCACTGCCAAAACTGGTCACGTGGGTCTCCCGGGAGAGGGGAGAGAGACTCAAAAGGAATCTTGGAAAGATGACTCAATTGGCTATTGAACCGCCCAACCGCCGACACCCCCTGAAATCCCCAAAACTCTGGGTGGACTTGAAAATGATCCCACTTATGGGCTCACCACACCTCAGTAAGTGGGTGAGGACAAGGTGCAGAAAAAGGATTGACGGCATCAGGGTATCCGTCCTGGGATCCAACTGCAGTTACCCCTGCCCCCAGTGAAGGTAATACTTGCTACTAGTGTGGGTGGCTAAATCAGAGTGGATCTGATATATATCTTCACTAGCACCGTTGATTACACAAGAGTTAATCTAGCCAGAAGCAGTCCATGGTTAACAGGTATGTATACTTCAAATAGAAAGTATATGAACCCTGGAACCAACAAAGGTGGCACATGTACACACACACACACACACACACACACACACACACGCACACACACAGGCACACACACACACACACACACACACACACACACACACACACACACACACTCACACACACACACACCACACACAGCCATGCTACAGGATACAGTTGGGTTTGAGTGCGGCCAGTTCCTCCGCATCACCACAACAATTGACTTCAGTCCCATGCATGTAAGCTGCCTTGACAGCCAACAGGTCTCTGCAAATAGAACAAGAAACATCACAACCACACCATACCGATAACTAACTACAGTCAACTTTGCGTATAACGACACTCGGCGGGGCATCAGAAAAGTGTCCTTATTCGCGAAGATTCCTTATACCCGAAGTCTCATTATATGTATTACAGTTGGATGGGACTTTGCTCTGGGCATGGAAATTCTGTCGTTATTCGCGAACTGTCGTTATATCCGCAGTCGTTATTAGTGAATTGTCGTTATATCCGCAGTCGTTATTAGTGAATTGTCGTTATATCCGCAGTCGTTATTAGTGAATTGTCGTTATATCCGCAGTCGTTATTAGTGAATTGTCGTTATATCCGCAGTCGTTATTAGTGAATTGTCGTTATATCCGCAGTCGTTATTAGTGAATTGTCGTTATATCCGCAGTCGTTATTAGTGAGGTTGATTGTATACTAACACTAGACTTCACACACAACAAAAGATTACTAGTAGCACATACAGACAGGAGACACAGGTCGCTATGACGTCAGCCGTCCCGGACTACATACACCCGTGGCCCACTAATTAGAAAGGCGTTTGAGCCAAGATCTGGAAACACTTGTACACGACATTATACTATGCGACCCGACCCGACCTGACCCCCCCCCCCCCCCCCCCCCCCAACTGAGCTTTTGGAGATGCTGAGTACTGTCAACTGCCTAATATTCCAGTGCTTTGCGAGCTTTGGCATCGCAATCTTGCTGGTTCTAACAAGTCACGAAAAATTAGTAATGCCAATATTGGGTGATTTACAGTAGGGCTAAGGGGCCGTCCGTAAATATCGAACTTTTTTCACCAAACGAATTTTTAGTTTAGACCCAACCCCTCCCTCCTTCCCCCTCAGAACTTAAAAAATGTTGACATACATGCATATACAACGGCCATGTACATGAATCAATGTTTTCTGAAACGAAATTGGTCAACCCCTCCCACCCCATAACGAAATTAGTTCGTTTTGTGAAAAAAGTTCGATATTTATGGACGACCCCTAAAGGCTTGCACACAAGCAATAAACAGCAGAACCGTCCGTACTCGGTATTAGCTTGCTCCACCTCTGTGCCCAGCGCACTGACCACCACGCCGGAATCGAGCGTGAAGCTCTCCACCTTGCCAACGTCGCTGTCCTCGAGGTAACGCCGGCGCAGAACTTCCACCAGAGGCCTGCCGGCGCTCACTGCCGCGGCACGCACAAACGACCCTCCGGTCTCATGTCTGCAGGGCAATACAAACACGCAATGAAGAACACAGAGGCAGTGCGCCTTAACCTGCAATAGTGCTCAAATGCCCGGAATGGGCAGAGCGTAGTACGCAAGAGGTACACAAAAGGAAGTAAAAAAGGGCTGTTTCGTTGTTACTCAGAATAACATGAAGACATGAAGAAGTAACATGAAGAACACAACTATACAAACATGCAATGAAGAACAGGACTTCCAGGGTTCGCACAGGAAAATTACCACCAAATTCAATAACTTTTCCAAAACTTTTTACAAACTTTTTCCATGACCAAAACACAAGCCAAAGAACGCGCACAAGCTGAAAACCGTCCACACTGTCCGAACAAACAGGCGAAAATAATTCCGGACGACACAAATGCACGCAGTCAGAGTCTCAGCGAATGACTTGGTTCTCTCTGCCCCCAGAGAGTGAACAGCTCTGCAGTTCATGCAGTACAGTCAGCATTAGTGCAGCTAGTCTGCCCCCCCCCCCCCCCCCACCGTTGTGTCATTCAACCATGTACAGTGGAATATTTCTTCGAGTTGACAGTGAGCTTTTCCAGGCAGCGCTCGAGCGCTCATACGGTAAGACGGCAAACTCCCCGGGGCGATCACCAGGATTGCAAATCTTTTTGAAACCGACTGTATAGATATAATATCATAGTAAAGGACGAAACAGTTCCGTCCGCAGATTGCGTGGTAGTGCAGCTATTCCGCCCACCGCCCACCGTTGTGTCATTCAACCATGTACAGTGACACCTGTCCAAGACGACCACCGCTCAAGGGACCTTCACAAGGTGGCCTCTGTTACCAGGTGGTCTCCTTATCCAGGGTCATTTGACTGGAAATAGCATCCCTTGGTTCTGGTTGCAGTGGTCTTCTAGGACAGGTGGTCGCATTATCCGAGCGGTCACCTTGACAGGTTTTACTGTAGTCACTAGGATTACAGTACAGTCAGACCTCGCTTATCCGCTCCTCTATTATCCGGATCCCTCGCCATCTGGAAGAAAATAGCTGGATACAGATTTACAGCATACATGGTGCATCCAACATAACCGGTGTTCGGTTATCCGGTTCCCTCGCCTATCCGGATATTTTTGTGGAAAACAGATGCGTGCGGTTTAAAAGCGACGTCTGACTGTATTAGCAGGCAGGCATGAAGCCCGCATGGGGCACGTGCACCCCCCCCCCCCCCCCCAAAGTCTCAACCTAGGTTCAGCATGCACATAATGAGCATGAATGACATGCATCAGCCATCCTACACATATGCGGCGGTGCCCCCCCCCCCCCCCCCAAAGGGGGCCAGCTACGCCCCCTGATTAGGGATCAAAATACCGATCCCATCGAACATAGAGCTGCAGCCAGAAGTTACAACTCTCCCCTCCCTTTTGACTCTGATGAGCTGCCTTACAATTGAAGTAGCGGCGAAACCGGTCAGTCAAAGAAATTATGTAAACCAATGTGTGTTGATGAACTGCTTGTGTCGGGGATATTTCCCGAATTTATTGACTCGGTGTAACGAGCCCAGCACAAGGATGGGTTTCCAATGTCAATACCTCACACAGCCGTGGTCCTTGGCATACTGGTATCCTGTATAGTCAACAAATATTCGGCGCATATTTATTTTCGGCTATTTTCGGCCTGGTCATGTTTGGCCGAAAATGTGCTGCGGCCGAAATTTTGTTTTGCAAGGTTCAGTGTGACAGTGTATACAGGCGGCAGCAGTACCGGCCGAAAATCTGTTGCAGCCGAAATGCGTTTTAGCCCTGGGAGGCCGAAATTTGAATGCGCTAAACATTTGTAGGTATAGGATATTACCCAAGTACGAGGGTGATACCTCCCGAATATCATCCCGACTGCATAGCAGGAGGGATGATATGAGGGTACGGCAACACCCGAGTACGCGGGTCAATATCCTACTTATCTCAGGTACATCTACGCATTTTGGGGATCGACGCAACTGCGTCCTGAATACAATTACCAAGGTACAGCTATACCAAACACAAGATGCTGCCTTTCTTTTCAATCCAGTCAAGCTTTGAGAGCGATGGAGACAAGTTGCATTTGTAGTTGAACTAGAGAATTGACGAAAGATTGCACTGTTATTTTATGCAGTATTGACGCTCACTGTGATGATACATTTGGTTCAAAGTAGGCAAGGGCCATACTTCAAGTCACGGCGAGATACAGCGTCATTATGGATGCTGGTGCTGACTTCCTTGTCATTGGATGGGCGTGGAACTTTCATCGGTTTGGTATTCTTGCTGCACACTTTCCGTGCAGACAGTAACTACATTGTACACATCGTCAGATATTGGCGCCAGTGAGTAAAGTGCATTTCGTTGTACAGTCAGACCTCGCTTAACCGCACACATCCGTTTTCCACAAAAAAATATCCGGATAGGCGAGGGAACCGGATAATCGAACACCGGTTATGTTGGATGCACTATGCGTACTGTAATCTGTAATCAGCTATGTTCTTCCGGATAAGCGAGGTCTGACTGTATCAAGACTCTTGGTTGTATCACTATCGGCCACTAGGCAATCAGAAGAACGTTGACCTTGTTATAGGCATACTGGATTTGTAGCAGCATCTACGTTTTAGATTGTTCTTGTGGTAATCGTACTGGGTACAATGAAATGGTGATCACTGCAGGTCGTGTCTTGCATGCACATTTCTACACACTATCTACATAACACATGCATTGCTGAGCTCTTCTTTCATACAATATTCTGTGCAAGATTTTTCCTCTCACTTTCACGTCTTGTACTTTTCGTGTTGCTACGGTATCTCTCCTTGCACCTGAAATAGGGCTTGAAAGTGCTACGTCACAGCATAGCAACAATTTCAAAAATTCAAAAACTGGATCCACTTGGATCCAGTTTTTGTATGGATCCAAGCACATTTCAAGCCGTCTTACTCACAGCAAGGTGATGTAGCCAGTGAAACTGACTGATTTGGCTACTGGGGGCGGGGTTACAACTGGTGGCGAAGTAAAAGTCACCCCTGCATACGACATGAGTGGGTTGCTATGCACCCACATACTGAGGCAATAGCAAAGTCACACCTTAGTGGATCCAAAATAGAAATCTGATGTCAACTTACTACTCCCTGGCCGTTTTTGACGTCATCACTTTCAAGCCCTATTAGTAATTTTCACTCGGATGGTGGTACTGTGTGTAGGCTTCGAGTTTAGAAAGAGTGAATGAGAACTGATGCACCTCGAAGTCTCCTTTGTGTCGTAGGGTTGAGTTGAATAGTGATTGGAGTTCGTTGCTTGTTTGTATGGAATCTGGTTTCGGCCGTAGTCGCGGAAGTAAGTTCTCTCAGTTCACGTGAGTGCTGCACTTTTACTGTATCGACAGTGCACTCTGCATTGGCATGCTCCCACCCTCTCGCGGTTCTGTGTAGTGCATTTTGTCGCTGGGTTTCTGATCGAAAGGACTCCAGTGGCAAGATGCATTGCATCGAATCGAGAGGGGGTCGGTGCATACCAAAGCAGGGTGCACCGCAGGTACGGTAAAAGTGAATACAGTTAATAATAGCCAATCCCGCGCGGGATTGTATTGGCTATTATTTCCCGGTCAGCAAGGCTGCTGATTGGCTGAAACAGGGAACCTTCACAAAAAACATCTACATACCGACAGGTAAAGTATTTCTGACCGCTGTGTGAACCGTCATGCTTTCCACGTGATGCATCATCCCATTCAACTCCAAGCCATTCACCTGAGCACAGAGGCACATACAGACATCCATAAATAAATGTCTCCCCCCCCCCCCCCCCTTCTCTCTCTCTCTCTCTCTCTCTACATTGCACATAGAAGGGTGGAATCATTTCCCATGCAGATCCGTGCACGAGGGAACACCACTAAGTGTAGGAGAGTGCTGTGCCCTAGACCCTTCCACGTTGGAAGGCTGTTGGTTTATGCACTGGAGATGTGTTAGAGCGAGGTCTCAGGTCGTTGAATGTCTCAGTAGCTTGTCAGTTTTGTGCCCTGTTATCGCACGTTCTGACTGCTTATCACCTTGTTACAGTCGTGGATAGTTCCTTCATAACCCGTCCCCTTGTGTTTTCCTCTATTTTACATGTATTTGTATTTATGGATTCTCCACAGGCCTTAGCCTAAATCGAGGGAGTCTCCGTCTATCCCTCATAACCTGACAGGGTAAGCTGTTCTTCTTGTCCAGTGAGGACTACTGTGTTAGCTGAATACCTGTTACCAGCAGTATGTGTCACTGGCCAAACCAGGCATGGGGCACAGTGCTGTCACGTCACCCACTTTCAGCAAAGCTTAATTAAGAGGAAAATAAATAATTGAGTCGCGCCACTATCTCTTACTGAGCCCATACCAGGACCGCAGCTAAAAATAGAATAGAGGTTTCTTCTGCTCGTACATAGCTTGCATTTAGAACTCCTGCGCGTGGAGTACACGATGAGAATAACAAGTTATATGCTAGTGAGTGTAGACGAAATCTAATGTTCAAGTTTTTTTCTTTCATTCTCATTTAGACTTTATTTGAAGGATTCTCCAAGAGTAAATGGATACTTATCGGGGGAGTTTCCTGGAAGGGTGGATGAGACGAAAGGGAAGTGGAAAGGGACAAGGGAAATACTTAGCAGAATGTTTCGGTGTTGTTGTTTTTTATTTGAATTCGCAATACTGTTCGTGTCTGGTTATGGGCATTCGCATTGCAGCTTCCCTCTCACAGATCATGGTGCTATTGTAATACTGAACCAGGGACAGTATCGGTATTATCAAGAGTCCATAATCTGGGGTTGTAGACTCTTCAAATTGTGCATCGATCTGATTTACAAAACAAAAAGAAATTTCCGTCAAGGATATGGCATTCTCCTACCTTTAGCTCCAGCCAATTCCCCTGCGAAGCGAACAGTTCCACGATAACCACCCTTATCCACGATCCGTTCCCCCACAAGCATAGTTACTTTTGCCTCGGCTTTGATTTTGAACCAAGATAGAAACACCTACGAAGTTAGTTGTATCCAGGGAGTCGTAAAATACCGGTATTTTACGACTCCCTGGTTGTATCCAGCCAAAATATTCTCCTTGCTGATTTCTTATTGACTGGTTTGAGGGAAAGAGACTGATTTCTTCAAAGCATTTTCGAAGTCATTAATTTTCAAACTGAGCGCGCCGACTCTGTTGCACCGCATGCGCAGGTCGGTGACGTGACTGACGTCGCGACGTCGGTGACGTGACTGACGTCGCGACGTCGGTGAACCATGCGCTTTCAACGTCAGGGTGATGTCATAGAATAGTCATAGAGTTCAAAATGGCATCTGATTCAACGCTTACGTCGTTACGACTCCCTGCGTGAAACTAACAAAATTTTATTTTGTTGTTGTGCGCTTGGTGATCGACATCGACAGCTACAGATTCTAGAAGTAAGCAGTTCTCGATTGTAGTTTTTTAGCCTACTATGAACAGCGGTCGACATGGCTGAGGTGGCTACGCCGAAAACATCGGCTTCCGAGCCTCCACGTGGACGACCCAAATCTGGTCGTGTGTGGAAAGAAACGCAGACAGCAAGGTGAGTAAATTGTCACTCAATAGCTCTACGGTCTTCACGATTTCTATCTCTCTCGCATGTGAGATCGCGTTTGTGTATGTGTGTGCGTGCGTGTGCAAGACTAAGTAAGTACACTTGGCTTTATCTACACGTGTACAAATAGATACTGTTATTTTGCTAGACTTGAAAAACCTGACATGTTTTTGTATTGAACTAATAAGTGTCACCTCTGCCACGTGCAAGCGGACGTAATATGTCTACTTTATGCTGACCTTTCATACAAACTTCCAGTCAACTTGCCCATCATGCTGGCGGCTTATACTGGGCATATAAACCTCATACAAACCCCGTACAAACCCCATAATATTATAGACCGCCACCATAGAAACAGGAAGAAGTTGACTGTCAGTTTGTATGAAGGTCAGCATAAGTATAATACATCCCACTAGTACGCTTGTACGTGAAATATAAACCATCATACAAACCTCGGCTTCGCCTCGGTTTGTATGTCGGTTTATATTTCACGTACAAGCGTACTGTTGGGTTGTATTATCAGTGCTGCCAAACCGTCCGATTTTTCGGACAGTGTCCGATTTTTGAAGGCTCTTCCGAAAAACGGTCCGAAAAGCAGCCAAAATGTCGGAGATCATTACTTTCCTGTGCAGAAGTCCTGTACTTTCACTTTTCGGCGCAACTGAAGGCACAAATCACTGTACATTTGCTTCTAAAAAGGCTAGCGCTTGGCTGTGGAAGTGCAAAGTAACATGCCTGGATCAGGCTGGATGGCATGCACACTGACAGTCTATACAGAGTCAGTGTGCGACCACACTCACTCATGACGACTCTGGGGGTTACCATGGCAACGAAGCGAATTTTCATGGTGTTTTAGGCGATATTTTGAATTCTCTGTAAAACATTTGCCGAGGAGAACAATTCGCACCATGTGGCCAGCCTTGGCGGTGAAGGGTGTCCGATTTTAGGCGAAAATTATTTGGCAGCACTGTATTATATACTTATAGTCCTGGTATGACTATTGTTATTAGATGTACCGGTATTACTATGTAAAACTTGAGTAGAATGTGCCTAGCGCTTGCAGGGGACTTAAAAATCAGAGTTTGTTTGCCGAGGTATTCAATTTCCGAAGTAAAAATTTAAATGGCAAAAAGGGTACGCATAATAAGTCTTCAAAAAAGTACTTTATATCCGATGCAAAGTGAACAGTGTGTTATATCCACCAGGGTACTTCATACTGAAGCTTCACTGTACAAGCATGCAGATCAGGGCTGTGTACAGTGCTGCTCAATGAAATCCCATCAAATGAGTCAGCAGCTTTGCCACCTGCAAAGCTGTAAATCCCAGGTTTTGCAGGTCTACAGCTACAGTGAACTTCGCTTATAACGACACTCGGCAGGGCGTCAAAAAAGTGTCCTTATTCGCGAAGTGTCGTTATACCCGAAGTCTCATTATATGTATTACAGTTGGAAAGGACTTTGCTCTGGGCATGGAAATGCTGTCGTTATTCGCGAATTGTCGTTATATCCACAGTCGTTATTAGCGAAGTTGACTGTATAGCGTATGATAACTCAATTGTAACTTGAGAGATGCAAGTGGCTGTGTGCATGAGCGCCACCAGCAGCACCATAGGTGGGTCCAGCTCAGGTGCCATGGACTTCGGCAGGGGCACTGCCTGACGTAAAATGGCTATGGATAGGAACACTATCCTTTGAAGCATGTGCTGCCATGTACTTTGCGTTTAGTACATGTAGTGCCCACTTTGACGGGCAAAGTTGGTGCGGTTTGGGGGGGGGGGGGGGGGGTCCGGGGATCCCCCCCCCCCCCCCCCCCCGGACATTTTTGGAAAATTCCGGTCAGAAATAGCAGAATCTGGCCCTTTCACAAGTTTCCAGAGCCCACAACAGGGAATAATTTTTGCATGGATATCAATGTACAGTGTATGACCTACCATGAGTATGAGTGCATGTACATAATGTATGATCGATAATACAATCAAGTACATATTGTTAGATTGACAGCATGAAACAAGGTGAAGGACACTGTGTTCGGAAACACTGACCTTACTACAACCTTCCGCGGTTGGTAGAGCCAGTGTCCTCCACCTTGTTTCATGCTGTCTATCTAACAATATGCGTGAACTACAGTAAAACCTGTAACTAACGACCACCGTGACTAGCGACCGGCCTGGTACTACCGACCACTTTGTCAGGCACGAACGGTCTCACATTCAAAATGCACTGTAACTAGCGACTACCTGCTGAACGCGACCAGCGACCGCCTTTTCTTGTCCCAATGTCGAATTTTGACCCGTAACTAGCGACCGCGATGTAGCAAATCAAACATTGCTTGAAGCTCCTTCTCGAAATTTTGATGATTTTCCATGGTCGTTTCGATACTACAGCTGGACAAATGAGCGCAGTCTCATTTTTACTGTGGAATCAGTGTGGACTGCACTACACCTGTCATAATTTCAAGTGGCAGTTAGTGCTGTCAAGAACAAACATGATAGGAAACGTCTTGGAGAGCGCATCCAAAGCGCTCTTTGATCGATGTTACTACTCGAAGGAGAAACTAAGACTGAGCGGCTCTCTGTCGAAGTGCAATCACACAGCTCAGTCACCAGGTCACACTGACGGTCTGTGCTGGCTAGCTAGCATGCTACGGTATTATGTACTCACCTGTACGGAACACAGGCCAGGATACGATGGCGGATAATAGTCTACAGTGAAGGGGCGAAAACTCGCAACATCGCCGCATCACGTACTGGTACACACCAGTACAGTTTACGCCACACTACATCCAAGTCGGAGCGACTGAGTTTCCACTGTAGATCTACACACTGATACCAGTTGCCAGTGTAGTCGCACACAGATGAGGATGGAGTCGATAGTGACTAGTCCACTGCCTGGCCAGGCCAGCGCTGCTCTGGAAACCCAGTGAGTCGACATACGTGTCAAAAGGTCGTATCGCTTCCGGTGTATAAAAAACTTGTTTTTCTCTCTCCCCAAGTGTTGTATGATCTGAAAGAAGAATGTCAGTGCGCAAGTGGTGGGGGATTGTATTATCTGCATTTTGACATACATATCATATAATGGGATCCATATAATATTATGGTTGCGCGGTGCAAACCTCTAACTAAAGACCACCTGCCACTAACGACCACTTTTCCGGTCACCAAGGGGTGGTCGTTAGTTACAGGTTTTACTGTATAGCACGGTTTATCTAATACAAGTACTGGTTTTGAACCAGTGTTAGGTTATATAATACCAATCATGTACATGTACCCAGACTGTTTTTCCCCCGGTTTTAGACGAATCCCGGGGGGTGACCTGAGCCAGAGTTGGTCCGGTGACAACCGGACCAGTTCCGGCGACCCTGTGCTGTGAGTCAGGGCTTGCGGCCTAGCGCTAGACATGTACATGTACTTAACGTTAGTATGTGCTGTGTGTGTGTCTGTGTGTCTGTGTGTGTATCTGTGTGTGTGTGTGTGTGTGTGTGCGTGCGTGCGTGCACCGGCGTATATGTGCCTGGAATGATCCGTGGTGCTGGTGATGCTGCTGATCATGCTGGCTATGCAGGTACAGCAGTGTTGTGGATGTCAAGCCGCTAAGGACAAGCTGGAAGAAGAAGCAAGAGCAGAGAGCGGAACTCAAGCTCATCAAGCAGTTGGACCGTGAGGCCAAGGAGGCCAAGAACAAAGCCAAGGAAGTGAGTTCAAATATGCTGCAATGTGCCATGCTGTAATGCTGCGAACTAAATCACTTTTGCTGTAACATGCTGCACATGTACACTTGTATGTTATAGATCGACTGAACTGTCGCTATGCAAAGCTTCGAAGAATTCATATCGTGTGTTCTGTCTCTCTTTTCTCGCCTTTCTCTCTCTCTCTCTCTCTCTCTCTCTCTCTCTCTCTCTCTCTCTCTCTCTCTCTCTCTCTCTCTCTCTCTCTCTCTCTCTCTCTCTCTCTCTCTCTCTCTCTGACATGATGTAGGATAAGAGGAAGAGGGAAGAAGAGAACAAGCGTCGGCGCGAGGAAAACGAGAAGAAGTCACAGATAGTTCAGAAGGTGAGAGCTCAGCTCTACGATCAACTGCATACACCCTTGAGTTGCTTTCATACATGTACTGTGATTGTTGGAGACATGGTGTTCTTCTGAGTGCTAACGCAGACGTGTTGTTTGTCAGGATATCCAGTGAATATCCAGTGGATGATATAGCTTGAAAGCACTACTGTATTAGCAAGTAGACGATTGCCAGGACTGGGAAGCATGGGATCGTGTGAATATTCCCATGAGTACGTAACCCCCAAGAGTGTGCAACTCTGCATATGGGTCTCCAATGGCAAAAACTCGCATCACGAAATCCAAGTACGTTTCGTACTGCGCACTGTACAACGAAAAGCCAGCGTGCGTGCAATCCGACTATCTGCCATGATCATGCTGAAGACTATCTGCCATGATCATGCTGAAGACTATCTGCCATGATCATGCTGAAGACTATCTGCCATGATCATGCTGAAGACTATCTGCCATGATCATGCTGAAGACTATCTGCCATGATCATGCTGAAGACTATCTGCCATGATCATGCTGAAGAATTGCATACGCTGAGTGGGTTTCTGTCAGGGAGTGCTATTTTTACTACTCCACTGCACTGTTCGCTACACCCGGGCTGGGAACGTACAACGAGAGCACTACGCCATGTGATGTGAGTTTTGGCCGTCAGCAGACCCCATAGAAAGCGCATCGGGTGCTACATGCAGTTGGGAGCATATTTGCATGTGGATAGTATGCATCTCCCTTGGTCGGCTTGCCGTCTGAAGCCGTTCTGTAGAGGTTCTTTGGCTACAGTCGAATGTCACTTATCCGGTCGCCAGTTATCCGAGCACGTCGGTTATCCGACAGGCCCGGGAGTGGTAATTTTATGACTCTCAACAGTAAAATTCTAAAAAATAAATAAAAAAACTTTTGTTTTTGTTTTTTGTATATTATACGGTGTGATATGCATTTACTTGAAGTAGATGTGGTCAAGTATGCTAACGTGTATGTGTACATGGAATATGCATGAATATATTTGGGTATTGTGTACATAAATCAGTGAAATCCAGCCATATTATGCACATAAAAAAATGATATCAGTTATCTAACATATTCACTGTTATCCAACATGCCTGATTCCCGAAGTGGTCGGATAAGTGACATTCGACTGTACGTCATCAGTTGAGATGATTCGGCGAAGTCGCGGACTCACCGCACAGCGCTACACTGGCACTAGGCACTCACGCTGCACACGTGTAGCGCTCATTAGAAAATGTGCCCTCTTTCTCTATAGAGAAACGAGTCTCACTCGAACCGTGAATTTTTTCTCTCTCTTTCCTCCTCTGCCCCGTGCCAGCATTACACTCAGTGGCAGTGCACTGGGTGCATTGCTGCTAGTACTTCTGTTCTGCTTTCTCAACTCATCGCCAACATCACTGTCATCATCATCACTCTCATCATCTCTGTATTGTCTTCTCTTGTGCCTATCCAGATCACCAGACTCGACACCCTGAAAAGGATGAAGAAGAACAAGAAAATGCAAAAGAAGCTCCAAATCAGATAGTACACCCAGTGTTCTCAGATAGTACACCCAGTGTTCTCAGCAGCAGCAGCAGCAGCAGCAGCAACAATACTATTTTTAAACACGAAACTCTGAGTCACGATAACAAGATTGGTCTCTATTGTTCTGCCTCGTGTAGTGCACTCTGCCCTTGTTAGGGGATCGAGCACTCTTTGCAGCAAGGACCTGAGGCACTTTCAGTTACGACCGTTATCGTGCAGATGCTTGATAGTCGCTGGCCAAGCCCCATGCATCTGTCAGCAGCTATGCTCAGCTGAGATGTGTACTATGCATTGTATTTAGCTATTTACAGTGTTCACACCACATCTGCCGGGCATATAAGATCGATGCCCTCTACTCCAGGCTAGACCTGCACTGCTACAAGGCTATGTCGCCTGGTGCCTTGTCTGCAAGCCACACGTGTGCAATATGCCAACTGTTCCGGGTGACCAACCCCGGCCGGGCCAAGCCTGCAACTTACTTTCTTCTGCTGAACATGTGGCCTTTGTTATGTGTGTGTGTGTGTGTGTGTGTGTGTGTGTGTGTGTGTGTGCCTGTGTCTTGGCTATGTACTGCTTTTGCAAGATCTTTCAACATGACACACTCTGCACTGCAATACAGTGCTGCTTGGTCGATGCGTCTGCACCTTGATTCTTGAAGGTGGTCGTAATGGCATTCTACTCCGACGCCGGATGCAGAAAGCTCATTAGACATGGTTAGCATTTTACCGTTCACCCTGATTTCGACCGTCGTCCTGTACTGTTTTTGGTTTGCATTTCGTTTTCTCGCACAAGGATCGGCTTTTCGCGTAAACCTAGTTGGAATCAGGGAGTCGTAAAATACCGACTCCTTAGTTGGAATCTTACCGTTTCGTTTTCCCTCTACAGGGCCTTCCATTGTCGAAACGAAACCAAATCGACGGTACTTTGGATGCTGGGTATGAGTAGTATTGTAGTACTGTTTTTACATGACATGAGACACTCTTAGCAAAAAACGTTATGTTGTAACGGTATTACCGTAAGGGGGGGGGGGGAATACCGTGATTTGGGTTAGACCTTTAGCAAGCTTGCACGCTATTTTTAGTATGCTGTTGCCACGAGAATAGCTTTTGTTTCGCACGGTACAACCATTTATCTCACCATATACGCGATACAAGGTGAAATGCGTACGGACTATGCAATATTTGGCCAAAAAACGTACCGTTTGTCACAATGATAAATCAGCCCCCGTATCGTTTTTACGCTGCAGCTTCAACGCTATATTTGGGTGATCAAGGTATGAGTACCGTAAAAAAATAGCGTTACCGTTGTTTGCTAAGGGTGTCTAATGTACATGTTGTTGGTTTGACAGCATGAAACAAGGTTTATCTAATACCAGACATTGTACATGTAGCGGTACATGTACACGTTTTTCGATTTTGACAGCATGTTACAAGGCGAGGACGCGTAGTGCTCCTGACTACAACCATAACCCGGTTGGCCGAGTCCCGGTCTTGCGACCATCTGAACCGTATTGGGAAAACCCAGGTTCGGACCCTCGTTACTCTACGGGTTGGTAGGATGGGTTTTCCCAATACGGTTCAGATGGTCGCAAGACCGGGACTCTGCCAACCGGGTTATGGTTGTAGTCAGGAGCACTACGCGTCCTCGCCTTGTAACATGCTGTCAAAATCGAAAAACATGTTAAACTACCAAGCAAGGCTTCTGTATATACATGTACACATGTACTGCGAAAACAGAGCAACATCAAAGACATAATTTAAAGCCATAAGGAACTCGAAGAGAGAGAGAGAGAGAGAGAGAGAGAGAGAGAGAGAGAGAGAGAGAGAGAGAGAGAGAGAGAGAGAGAGAGAGAGAGAAGACAAAAAGAAAAGGCAGTACTATACCATTGGATTTAGCGTAATGAAGCGGTAACCGTGTCAGCTGATTCTTACGCGAACCGTGACATTGATTTTTTTTGACCGAGTGATGCATGCTCACCCACATACCACGTACAGCCAAGTATTAGTTAGTTTAATTAATCTAGAAATAGCCTGATTGTGATCAGTTTAGTTGGCTACTCATCACGCTTGAGCTAGCGCTAGTACTAGTACGTACATATACATGTGCATGTACGTAGTAGCTGTCACAAACGTATACCGGTAGCAACTAACGAGCCTCTGCCTGGACGAGGTCGGCACTCGTACTCGGCAGGCGCAAGGTCGAAGTGGCGTCGGCGAACGGATTACAGTAGATCACTAAGGCCGGGTGGACGTGTCCACATCATGCGAATTATTTTGTCCAAAATTGAAATTCAAAAAGCAAAAAAAAGGTCAGAGTGTTGTAAGATAATTCAAAAAATCACCCAAAATGCAGAAATTGTTTGATTCGTTGCCATTATAGCCACTGGCGGATAATATGCCGGCATAATTATTGGCATAATTTGGTGGTTGAAAATTTGGAGCATAATTTTGGTATCCTTTCGGAGGTACTTCGAAGTAGGAGCATAACTACATGATTGTACCACAGTTCTAGTATGTAGGCTACACAGTTGTGTACAATGCACCTGATCAGGGGCTGATGGTCTACATGGTAAAGGGTTCGGGGTCATGCAGATAGTGTTTTCAATGGAAAGCAGGGTAGAACGCATGCCAATACATTGTTGTATGCTCGAACTCGTCTTCTTCAAAGTTCTTTCTCACAGTGATACAGTACAGTCATGTAGCAGAAGATGTGAATGAATCAGCCGTTATCAGGTATCCTGGGGCGGACGAGATAGTGACGGATACTAGTACTGAAGTAGTCCGCAAAACTCCGCCTCTCAATTTTAGCAGCTATGACTGTGCAGGCTATGGATATTGTTCTAATAGTTTAAAAAAAATGAGGTATAGTTGATGTTCGGTCATGATGGCAGGAGAGGTGGAGCTAGGGGAGAGATGAGCTGATTAAGCAGGGTGAGGGTGGCATCGGTTGGACGAGTGTGACGATTACGAATAGGCCTCGGCGGGTAATGCTAGCATTGTAACTGGCATTACGAGCATCGTTTTGAGAACTAGCAATGCTCCAGCATTGTACCCGGATTTGGAGCCAAAACAAGCATTAGCGCCCAAAAGTTTCATTTTCTCACTTCATGAGTGTGCATTTATACTGAATAAAACAGGAGCTCTACATGTAACGTACACACTGTACTTTGTACCAGCGGCTTTTGGCAGTTTTGCTTAAACGTTAGCCTGCGACTTCGCAACATGCGTCTCTTGTTGCGAATTTTAGTGGCTGCTGCTAGGTATAGACGTACCACGTTGATGCCATCATGGGAAACGGAAAGAAACCTTGTCTTTCCTATTCACAGAGTCATGCAGTGCTGGCTTGCTTGCACCATGAGTACATCAAATGGAAATGTGTTGGAAGTCTCTGATTCTTCGGAGGAAGAGAGTGAGGAAGATGAGTACGAGACAGAGGAGGATAATAAGGAAGACGAGAACGAGGCAGAGGTGGAGGATGAGCCCAGTGAGGCATGCGCACGACTGCCCAAAGCCACAGGAGCAAGCATATCGAGGGTTAGATCACTTATATTGTACTTTTTCATACCACACAATAAACTAAATTTCCAAAATAGCATTCCGTATGCACCCTCAAAGTACTTTGAAGACTGTCGACGTAGGGTTCTGATTTACTGTTATTCACTGCTAGTTCATGATAGCAACTTCAGTTCCACATCATTTTGAAATAGCATCACCATATAATCTACTTTCAAAGTACTAGGTACTTCCAATAGCAGTATTCCGTGCAGTGTGACTTACATTATGACACAATGCCATATGAGTGGTTCACATTGCCTTTTCAACTAGCATTACAAGTCCAAATTAGCATTCTAACGAGCATTATTTGACCGAATAACTAGCAATGCTAAAAGCATTTTGAGCTGAAATAACTAGCATTACCCGCCGAGGCCTAATTACGAAGACAGTTGAACATGATTATTTTCAAAAGTAACTCTAACTAATAATTATTTTGTGTAGAAAGGAAAAGGAAATATAGATACGAGTTGAGAGTAACTCTCCATCACTCTAACCAGATACTATATACATATACAGTCAGAAAGTGCAACAACTAGTGTTAAGTCCCGGTTTCACTCAGTCGGCAGAGCACGACGGTACAGTAATGGATAATGGTTCTCATACAGAATTGCACACTTATTCCGAGAGAGAGAGAGAGAAAGAGTTCTCTAGCATGAATCTAAGTCTAAGAGGTAGGAACTGATCTTAAAGGGGAAGTTAAGGCAAAAATTAAAATTTCACCAGTTGTAGTCTTCGGGGTGCTGAGTCGAATGGTCGTGGTCCGAGGAAGCTGAGACGCTCCCTTCCTACTTGAATCCCAATCGAACTCGCGCACTTCCACCGAAACTGGGTGACTGCGCCCTACTAGATGGGGATTTGTATGCAAAATGTCACTAAAAGCGCCATTTCGTTCTTATAAAAGCATGGATGACCGCGATTGGCCCATATGTTGTAGTCTTTTGGACGCTGAGTCGACTGGTTTTGGTCCGAAAAGGCTGCGATGCAGCGTTCCTCCTTTATTCCCAATCGAACATGGTTGAACAAGCGGTCACGTGCTCCTGCGTACGCCAGTCACCTGGTCACCGTGCCTGCAGGGTACAACTTACTAGCCTGTTTGACCTTTTTTGGGTGCAATCCTGTCACTCGAGTTGAACTCGAGTTGAACCTTGGTGTGAAAGTTGTCGCCTGCTGGCGTGGTGACCAGGTGATTTGGGCACCCAGGAGCACGTGACCGCTTGTTCAACCATGTTCGATTGGGAATAAAGGAGGAACGCTGCATCGCAGTCTTTTCGGACCAAAACCAATCGACTCAGCGTCCAAAAGACTACAACATATGGGCCAATCGCGGTCATCCATGCTTTTATAAGAACGAAATGGCGCTTTTAGTGACATTTTGCATACAAATCCCCATCTAGTAGGGCGCAGTCACCCAGTTTCGGTGGAAGTGCGCGAGTTCGATTGGGATTCAAGTAGGAAGGGAGCGTCTCAGCTTCCTCGGACCACGACCATTCGACTCAGCACCCCGAAGACTACAACTGGTGAAATTTTAATTTTTGCCTTAACTTCCCCTATAAGCAAGAAACTAATCCCTAGGAAACTAAGAATACCGCAGCTTTTATAGCGAAGGTAGAGAACTAAGGTTGGTAAGACAAGGATTACGAAATCATCCTTCTACAAGTTCTAGAATAGTGGAGAAGGTAAACCTAGATCATCATTACTATACATGTACATGTAGATGAAGTGAGCATTGCGTAACATAAACATAATGACTAAGCGAGGTATTCTAGAAGGTGAGATATGCAATTTAGTCAGCAACATTACTCATCGGGCATATTACTGTAAGGTATGGAACATTCCGGAATCAACGACGTAATTGACTAACTAAAAGGAAGTGGTAGAAGTACCAGTTCTAGAAGTGCTGACAACAAGGTTACAAGCATGGGAGATCTAATTATAGCTTATGACGAGGCTTACGTTTACGTGCATGTACTACAGTACTAGTAGTCGCAATCAAGTCATGTACATGTCATAATGTATGCATTTCTACCCTAACACTAGGCACAACACTGACAGAGTACTGAGAAATTCGGCGTCCTGACACCTAGCTTCAACACATCTCCGTAGCGTTAACCGACAGCCTTCCAACTTGGAAGGTTCAAGGTTATGGAAAGACCAAAGAGGGGAAGGCAAGCGCAACGAAAATGA